TCCAGCAAAAGAGCTTTCCACGGATTCCGTACGATGGGAGCTTTTGAATCACTGCAGGATGTGGTACGGAGTCGAATGCAGCTGCCAGGTCCAGAAAAACAGCACAGCATGAGAATCTTTTCTCCATTTCTCCATTTATGGACATTTATGGACATTTATTAACATTTATTAACATGTATGAACATTGATCATCCGCCTCTTATGTGTTTTTCCTCATTGCATTTCCTCTGTTTGAACGGTTTGTTTCTCTGATCTATGTTGGCGAATCGACAACTTTGTCAAGTCCTCCGCAGTAACTACTGTTGTGATTTATTTACAAAAATAAATTGCATGGAATTGTGAAAAAGCATAGTTCCACTGAAATCCTCCCCTCGCTGTGCGTTCATGCATCGTCCATCTGCTGCAAACACAATAATGACCACAGGTACACGCCGCCGCCGTCTTCATCACGCTTTAATGGTGCTGACCTGTGCTCCCTGAACTCCTCTCCACAGCACAGGTTTTATAACAGTGTTCTCTCCTTTGGCTTTCACTTTGTCTCTCCATCATGCAAACGCAAACAGCCTGTTTATCCCTCACATTTGTATCAAAGCTGTACCCAACTAAAGATTCTTTTTTTTTTTTTTTTTTTTTTCCTTTATTTATTTTCAACAAGAACAAACATACATGAAAGGATACAAATATATAACAATAATAACAACAGACAAACGTACACATTTAGACAGAGTGATAATTACACATAGACAAACAGATTATTCGATGCTAAATTAAGTGTGTGTGTGTAAGTGTGTGTGTACGTGCGTGTGGGTAGGTGTGGGTGCTGTGGGGTGCGGTGTGTGCAACATTTGTTGAACCACATGATCAATACACCACTTTCTAGTTTGAGCTACCTCTAAGTGAGACCTTCCCTCCGCCGTTCCTGCTCATTGCCAGCGTCCTTCTCGTTTATTATAATCATATATATACTTGTATACAAGTTATTTTTATTTATTCATTATTTCTTTATTTTATTTTATTTATTTTTTGAATACGAAGTTTTTTGTTTTGTTAACTCAGTGGTTCTATATAAGCGTGTATGAGGTGCATTAAAAAGGCCCGAAAAAGTGCCCGCCCGGGATCCGAGTGGCGCTCCTCCTTCGGACCTGCCAGATCATGTGTGTGTTTGTGTTTTTATTTTATTTTATTTATTGATAATAATAATAATAACAATAACAACAACAATAACAACAACAACATTATTATTATTACCACTATTACCATCATTACCATCACTACCATCATCATCTTCTTCCCCTATACAGGGGTGCATTTGAAAGACACTGGCCGTGGCAGGGAGGGGGGGAGTGTATGTTATTTATCTACTAAGATTAATGAAAATGATGATTGATCATGCGGGTCAAAGTGGGAGGGTTTAACTTTTAACTCGCCATATAGGGAGGGTATATCAGTACAATTGTGCTTGCAAGTTATTTTAGTGTGTGCAAGTGTGCGTGAGTGTGTGTGCGTATGCGCGTGCGTGAGTGTGTGTGTGTGTGCGTGCGTGTGTGCATGCATGAGTGTTAGCAAGAGTGTGTGCGCGTGAGTGCGTGCGTGTGAGTGTGTGCGTGCCAACTAAAGATTCTAATGTTCCACTGAATACAGTCGATTGATTGAGTAAAATTGATTCATGACAAATGTCTTATAATTATGAAATATTGCGCACAGAATAGACAAAAATCAAAATAAAATGTATGTAAATGAAGTGGTAAGCAGCATGTTCATTCAGGAAAAGGTGAAGGTTTCATGAGTGTGTAATGTTCAGGTATTTTTGCACAATTATAACCACACTTTTGTCTGATTCACAGATGTATTTACAGCAAATCAACGTGATTGACAGCATCCCGTGCCGTTAGCAAAACTACCAGGCCGTGTTTTTCTACAGTGTATGGACCGCGCTGGAGCTGCACAGGTCACAATCAGAAATTAGAAAGTCAGAGACGAAAGCTCTGTGACGATGAGATTCACTGAGTTTTCTGCTGTGACCTAAAGTCACAATTCTTGGGTTCCATATGACGTAGTAGAAGAAGCAGTGGTTTATACACGGAGATATAGTAGAAGAAGAAGCATCTTTGTGTGCGGTGTACGTTTGTAGCAACCGCACAAATAGAGAAAGACCAGAGTTTGTTCATGTTCCAACTGTGGTCTCATATAAAGGAGGACACTTTGAAAAAAATCACTGGAATGAGGCGGAGGTGGATCAAGGCTTTCCCAGATAGGCGCCCCCTGCAGGCCACCCCAATGAAACGCAGCCATTTCTTCTGTTTTTCTTTCCAAAAATGCCCAAAATCAAGACTCTTTTGATAAATATGTTTTAGTACTCCCTTAGAACTGTGTGTCCCCGATTAAGACTGTTCCAACAACCGTACACCGCACAGGAGGAGAGCCTTTGACTCCAAAACAGACTTTACATGGTTTTACATGGGAGCAACACGGCCCCACCTCTGCTCATGCGCCCCCTACTGGCCAGTTTAATGAAACCCAAGATAACAATACAATGCATTTTTTTCTTGTACTGCCCTAAATCACAACAGCAGTAATCTCAGAGGACTTAACGAAACCATTGGAATCATCATCAATAGTATGGTTAGTAGCTTTTAGAATGATGTATTTGTTTGTATGGATGGATGTGTTTCTCCTACATGGGATTTATAAAGTATATATCTGTCTAAATGAAGTAGAAAAGGGGAGAGGGGGATTTATGAACGTGAAACAGTCGATTGTTTCATATTTGAACGTGTTCGTCATTAGCATGTGCACCAGCTGCTTCGCTTGAGCTTCGCCTGAGCCAAATGTTTGGAGTGTAGGTGTTTGGTGGTTTTTCAAATGGCTCACGCTGCTGTAGGAATTTACAGAAGGATACAGAAAATATTATAAGAAAAAGACATGGAATAAGAAATATCAAAACAGAACACTGCACCATCTGCTTTTAAAGGTTAGACTTTTGAAAGTAAGTATTCAACTATTCTCATGTTATACTTAAAGTATTTCTTGTTTTAGAGTGAACCAACTTTAACCATTGCTTAAGTTTTTAAAGGGTTTTGGAAGATTCCCCAGGCACTAAAGTCTCTCATCCGTTGCACGACCCTCACTCCTCTGACCACAATCACCAATTTTCACTTTGTTGATTATTTTCTTTACCAAGTGTGATCTATTTGTACTACTGCTGCTGCAACGATCTCTGGTGGTGCCTTTGACCATATTTCACCCTCAGCTGTCACTAATCTGACATCAAATAAGGTTTTGTTTTTTGTGTTTTTGTCCTGTTCCAAAACGACAAACTTACTCTACATTTAAATATTTGAATTTTCTTCACATTCACCATTTTTTCTGTGCTTCTGGGTGATTTTCTCATTATGGGAACATGATCAGACTGTTGACAGTTGTACCATCCATGAGTCACAAGAGCAAGCTGCCTCCAAAATATTAATTAAAAAGAAGGAAATCTGAGGAGAGTGTATTTTTCTTCAGATAATGTAGAACAATAACATTCAAACTTTCATAGTTAATGTACATTACCATAATAGTAATGCTAACTTGTATAGTACCTTTTTGGACACTCAAAGATGCTTCGCATGGGGAACTAAATAAAATGTCTATTTTTGTTCTGGACTATGAGTCTGGGCCCTTTGTGAAAAAGGTGTTGGTTATAGATTTGTTATTGACAACAAATCTAGACTAGAGATGCACCGATCCAGCTTTTTTACTACCGATACCGATACCAGAGCTATGGGTTTCTGCCGATACCGATATTGACCGATACCGGAAATGATCATGCTAAAATGTATTTAATAATTGAACTCTTTGTTCAAGTAACTGCAAAAGCAGTGGATGAACTAAAGTGTGTGTTTGAATAAATAAACACAACAAACAAAACACGCTGCATGAAAATGTAAATAAATAATAGTACCGTAGCTTTAAGTGGATTTCAGATATGTATTTGGCGACCTGGGTTCCAAATGGTCTATGGGGCTGCGAGCCCATGATGAACTCCAACACTTTGGGGTTGTTGCTGAAAAGCTTTTTGTGACGCTGCGTCAGTGTCATCTGTGTCTCGTTGTTTTCACGTCATCTCCTTTCGATGCAGAAACTCCCCGTGCTGTTTCTCGTGCTGCTTAGTCGTGTTGTATTTCTCTGGTTTACCGCCGCGAGAACAACGCTCTGTCCTGCTCCACGCTGTGTTGTTGTTGTTGTAGAGCGCCACGAGGAAGTGTCACATCTGATACATTACTTTGAATTCATTCATTTTATACGTATATGTACATTATGCACAATGTATTTTAGGACATTGTGCAGTACCTGGTATGTATTAAAAAATATATATAATTAAAAAAACAAAAATGGATCGACAGCATGGCGCCTCTCTCTACGCAGATATCCGATCCAGTATTTTTTCTGGTATCGGCGCCGATATCGATACCAGTATCGGATCGGTGCATCCCTAATCTAGACGCCTGTCTATTCCGATATTTTGGTCCCAGCTGGATTCGTCTGCATATCTGGCAAGTCAGGGAGAGTGGGAGAGGCTGCAGTACCACTTTTGGACACATGTTTACAAACTGCTCCTTTAGGGCGACAGTGCCTCAGTGTGTAGAGCATTGGCCTTTCTTTTCCCACCGCTCCCAGGGGCCTTTTGTTTACATGGAGGCCCCTGTAAATTAACCACATCGTACTCCTTCCCCTCCGGCTGCGCTGCTTTCTTGGTTATGGTTTTTAATTGAAACGAAAAGACGCCCGGCGTGATGCGAGGCGTGATGCGAGGCGTGATGGACGGCGGTGGGAAAGTGAATGCCGTGTGTGTGTGTGTGTGTGTGTGTGTGTGTGTGTGTGTCTGTTTCTGTGCGTGTGTGTGTGTGTGTGTGTGTGTGTGTGTGTGTGTTGGGCGCAGTGTACGGAGGAGGGAGGAAGCCATTATGTGAGAAACGTAGGTTACAATGTCAAAAGAAATGGACAAATGTGCAGTTATGAGTCAGCGTGCGCGGGAGGGAGCAGCGAGCCCAGAGCGTGATGTGTTTGAAGGCTGCGAGAGGAGTGGGAATCGATCAACAATCCACATGACAGGATTTTTGGGGATCGTGGTGATTGCTGTACCACTGTTAATGATGTATTGATTTTTGCGGTCATCTTGATATGGACCAATGACTCCTCTATGTTCACTTCATTATTGCATTGCATTTTTTCATACCTTGATATGGAGTTTTACCATTTAGATTTCCATTGGTCAAAAAAAAATCATAATTCAAAAACATAACAAAGAAACTATTGTAATGCAAAGGAAAATATTTAGTTTTTACTGTTCAATAATGATTTATCCATCCATCCGATTTCTTCCCCTTAATCCATTTCTGGGTTGGGTGGTGGCAGTCAGAGCACCAGCCCCTCACTGATCCTCCTGCAGGTGGATGGCTACTCTGTCGAAAAGAGCATAGCCTTGATCTTTCAGTGGAGGATTCAGGCAAAGCGGGGTTAAGTGTTTTGCCCAAAGACACAACGACAGCAGCAGACATCAGTGGGAGTCGGTGGAGAAGGTCTCGTGGTGGGCTCAAAGCAGCCTTCAGCTGAGCCACTGTCGCCCACCATAATGATTTATTTATTTATTTATGAATGTAGTATTTTGACAGTTTTGGCCGTCCATACAGTATACAGAGGTTAATACAGAGGTTTGATCCAGGGCTGGTTTTTACATCTTTAACTCATGCGTCTCGTTCAATTCCAATAAATTGGACCAGACGAGTTCTACGGTGGATCAGAGACACATCACACCATCATGTTTCCTCTCACAAAAAGGCGGAAGTCTGTCCCGCTAAAACATGTGGTAATTAAGAAGAAATAGCTCCTTTACACTTCTGTCTCATTAAAAGAACCTTCAAAGCCTTCTCCGGTTCTCACTGGTGCTTTGTGCTCGCAGCCGTCACACTCTCTGCCGCTCGACGCTGTATCGTGGACCTGCTGTCAGACCAAAGAATGGCAGCGCTTTCATAACATTGTGGTGTATATGACTGGTATGTTCTCAGCCCGAGGGGGACGAGGGGGGACCACCCACAGACTCCTGACAACCCACCACTCCAGGCTGATGTCAGACATGTCGCCTGCATCGATCGCTCCAGCGCCGCGACAGCTTCAGTCCCAAAGAGACGGCGGCGGGACGGGGATATGAGGAGGGGCCAAAATATGAAAGCACTTTATTTTGCTCTTTTATGTTTTGTATATTTTTATTTTGGAATACTACACTATTATTGTATTTATTTTGGATATCTTGTGTTTCCCTGTTTTTTTTCTGTACCCCACTGGTGCTCTGTCTGTAAATGAAGTTCCTCAAGTTATTTGAATTGAATTGAATATTTTAGTACAGGAAAGGATAATAGTAGTAGTTTATTTAATCTGTCATTATGAACTTAGATCAAGGTCAAATGTTTTTGTCCTGAGGTGAGATGAAGGAGGACCTTTCTCCACCGACTCCCACTGATGTCTGACGTCGTTGTGTCCTTGGTCAAGAAACATAACCCCACTTTTCCTGAAGCCCCCGCTGAAAGATCAAGGCTATGCCACAAAGCAGGGGGTGCAGCTGGATGGATTCATAAACCAATTAAGGAGAAGAAGATGGATGGATGGAAGATGACAAAATGATGCCTGAACCAAGAGGGGTTTAGGCTGAAGTCTAGACTCATCTAGCCTGGCCTTATCCATCCATACACTCCGCTCAATCATCATTTCACTGCATGTAACGTCTGGGTCTGGTCCCTGTGTTAGCGAATACAATCGGTCGTATTTCGACCGGCTACTCAGAGAGCGTGTTGTAGGTCGGTGCCGGTGACGTCAAGAGTTTGCGGCGAACGGGCAGGTTGTAGTTTGGCAATGGCGAAGAATGCGATAGTAAAGTAATCCGGTCTGGTTCTATCAAGAAACTGAAGCAGGAGCAAGAGGAATGTTTAGCAAATGTAATCGCTGGTCAAGATTGTGGCGCTACTCCCGACTGGCTCCATTAGCGGCAAGAAGATGGCTAAAGCTAGGCTAAATGCTAACAACACACTCGGGCGCACTACATACGTCACGGTAAACTCAGATCCAATCGTTTCAATCTGCAAAAGGAGTTAGCCCCTCCTACCTGTTCACAGAGCTCAATGGAGCAAATCCAGACCTTAGTATGACATGAAATTTATACTAAGGTGTGGTACGACCAGGCTAAGACTCATCCTGCCTAACCCTATTACAATGTGACACTGTCCAAAGAGGACACATTATACAGTTATACCAACAATGGTAACATGAACCCCAAAACTTCAACAATCAACATTTTTAAGCAAAATCAAATTCGAGTATTTTATAGTTCTCCATAAGGATTAACTGTTTGCTGGATAATAAAAATGTGCCATAGCTTCTGAGTGAGCGTCCAGCCCCTGGACGTGGAAACCGCCAAGTGGCCGCAGCTGCCCCAGAACACTGCGGCCGCTGAGGTGGCAGAATCCCGTTTGAGGACTTGGGCTTGATCTATCTATGTATCTATCTATCTGTCTATACATCTATCTCCACCCATCCAGTGGTAGCAAGGAGTTTGTAAATGCACCACAAAACCAAGATGCAAAGCAATAACGAACAATGTGCACCAGTTATTATCCATGATTAATACTAATAACAATAATAACCCAATGGAATGCAGCCAAACTCAGTGTAAGGATACTGGTTAATAATCTAATATGAAATCAAACCCAATACGATGCTTTGGAAACTCCCTTGTTGGTAATAAGTTGTAGCCCGAAGCCATTTCTGATCAAAGAACAGCTCACTGCACAGAAAAGTATGTATAATTGATTACTTTCCTTCAGACCAAATTAGGGATAAAAGGAGAGCAATGAGAGAGCGGTTGTTTGGCTTAATGTGGAGAATTCCCAATAACGTCATTAATGGAGGATAATCTGTGGGGAGAGTAAGTCGTCACGCTGATGGAGCCGCAGATTTGGGTATTTTTAGACTGTGAAGCTATTAGATCATTCTTTGAGATATCTGTGGAAAAGCTAGTTTAGTAGGGCGACACGGTGGCTGAGTCGACAGCACTCTCGCCTCTCAGCAAGAAGGTCCTGGGTTTGAATCCTGGTTGGAACGGGGTCTTTCTGAGTGGAGTTTGCATGTTCTCCCCAGGTCTGCTCTGTCCAGACCTGTTTCCTGCTCTGGACAGAGCAGTCGCATTCTCTTGCTGCTCCTCGCTTGCTGCTTTTTTTAATCTCCTTTAATCATTTTTGCTTACATTTTTATTCCACAAAACACGGATTACTCCTTTTTACAAACTTCAACACAAGACTGGTGGAATTTACCTAACTTACAGCATGTCGGGAGGACGGAAAAAAAGAACAAAACTTTGCGACGGCTGTTTTTCACTCAAACAGGAGCTAAAACTTCTTCAAGACCGAATGTTTGTGCTTGAATCAGAATTGGGGCTGAACACAACAATACCAGTGAAAGGAATGGACCAAATGGACAGAATGTAAGTTATGATGACGCTATTTCATTTCCCAAAATCAACAGAGACAATTGTTGGAACACATATGGTGCCAAGCCCAAACAAGGCAAAGCTAATGATAACAAGAGTGTCATAATGCCACAGCAAAAATCTTTAATTACAAGAAACCGCTTTTCACCACTTTTGGAAGATGAATCAGCAGTAGCCTCTCAGTCCCAGTCTCAGTCTCAGTCAAGGTCAAATGCAGCTGAGTCGCTCTTTATCGGGGATTCGGCGATAAGACATGTAAACATGCGTAATCTCAAGGTTCACTCAGTACACTCTGCCAAAGTGGATGAGATAAGGCGGTTGGCTCCGAGGCTTCTGTCTGAGACCGGCGGGGTAAAAAGATTGTTGATCCACGTGGGGGCAGTAGACGTCTATGACAACACAAGTGAAAAGTTGAAACGGGATTACTCTCTCTTATTGGACGACCTTGCTAAAATGGACACAACAATCGTTATCAGTGGCCCACTACCAAATGTGGACGGGAAGCAAATGAAATTCAGTCGTCTGTATCAGCTAAATACTTTCCTACTCAACGAATGTTCACGCAGAGGACTTGCCTTCATTGAGAATTTTAATCTGTTCTGGAATAGGCATGAGCTTTTTGAAGGGAAAGGGCCACATCTGAACACTTACGGAGTAAAAGTGCTGATGGATAACCTTTCTTTTGCCCTGAGACCTCAGCCTGCGCAGCGCGTGCAGCCATCGAAAGGGAAGCCGACTCTAAAAGTCTCTGCACCTCCACCACCTCGAAGGATCTCAACACCACCACCACCTCGAAGGATCTCAACACCTCCACCACCTCGAAGGATCTCAACACCACCACCTCGAAGGATCTCAACACCATCACCGCCTCAAAGGATCTCAACACCTCCACTGTCATCAGAAGCAGCTGTATCATCACCAGCAGCAGCACCAGCAGCACGACCACCACCACCAACATCCTCATCCCTAGCCTGCTCCAAAGCAGTCACGCCTTCTTCATCTAAAGCGCCTCTGAAGCCCCCATCCTCACCCCAGGCTACAGCAGACAGGCCTGTGCTGGGGTTTCCTCAACCACCTGCCCCTCCATCAAAGACTCCCTCGCCACCTCCCAAGGACCTGTCTTGGGTCCCCCCTGCCACGTCCACTCCATCAAGAGAGAATGGGGACACGTCCCTTTGTTTTTCATCCCCGCCTTCACTGTTAGACCTACCTGAACACTCTGCAGGGCTAATAAAATCGGCGATGAAGACTATTCCTCTCACACCCATATTAGCTAGATCTAGAGTCCTGTCCAACATTCTAAACCACTCCCCATATGTACCTCCAAAACCACCTAGGGTTTCCAATTCACCTACAAAAACCACCTCAGCCAGTCCCTCCCCTTACCTCATGACCATTCCACCCCCACTTCCCCCTCGTTCAACACCCAAAACCTCTGCCTCAGCCCACCCCCGCCCCAACCCATCACCAAAAACCCCTCCACCTCCCTGCCCCCCTCGTTCAACACCCAAAAGCCACCCACCTCTCCATCCTCCTCCCCCGCCTTCCCCTTCCCCTCTTTTCTCTAAACACTAGGATGCACAGGGTCTCTGCTTCGCAGCCACTGGCAGTCTAGTTAGAGGAGAGACCCGGCTGGGGCCCTGTCATGAAGCCACCTGTGCCATTCCCTTAGTGATAACACAAAGAATACATTACAGAAAAACATCTGGAGTTAATCAGTCTAATCTGGAAAATCTAATTCTTGTTCCGTGTAAGAATCAGCCGACCACAACCGCTGATACTGAAACTTTGAAACTTGCTACGCTTAATGTCAGATCTCTTTGTAACAAGTCTTTTTTAATCAATAATTTTATTTGTTCTCATAATCTTGATCTTATGTTCATGGCTGAAACTTGGCTTGACCAAAATTCAGGAAATGCAGTTTTAATAGAAGCATCACCACCAAATTTCAAGTTTGAATCTGAAATACGGGAAAACAAAAAAGGAGGAGGCTTAGCTGCCATTTTTAGAGACCACTTTGTCTCCCATAGAATGTCTCTTGGGAAGTTTCCGTCTTTTGACTATGTGTCTTTTAAAATACAACAAAAACAACCTAGTCCAATACTCTTCATTGTCCTATACAAGCCACCGCAGTCATGTCACAGTTTTATTGATAATTTTACCGAGTTGCTTTCAGTTGTATGCACAGATTTTGATAGTTTGGTTATTACAGGTGATTTTAATATTCATGTGGATAATGTTGATGACAGAAATGCAAATGAGCTGAGTTCTGTACTTGAATCCTTTGATCTCACTCAGCACGTAAGTGGCCCCACCCACAGCAGAGGGCACACTCTAGATCTGTTAGTTACTAAGGGGGTGAATATTTCAAATGTAAATGTGGTCGATGTTGCGCTTTCGGATCATTTCTGTGTTTTTTTTGACATGTGTTTCACTAACAAACCACCAGTGGACTCTGCAACTGTACGAAGAAGGCGCATAAATGAAAATACGAGTGAACTATTTATGGGAATGATAAACTTTGAGAATGCACCGTATTCTACTGTAGATGAACTGTTTAACTCTGTCACCTCTAGTGTTTTGAAAGTTCTGGACACCATCGCTCCTGTGAAGGTTAAAATAGTGAAAAATAAGCAGAAGGCGCCGTGGGCTAAAGCAGACTCGGTCAGGGC